TAATCATTATTGCCAGTGAACACTGCTTATCGAATTGATTCGATCTGAATTGTAGTGGACCAGATTTTTCTCCATGATGGGGCAAAAGCTACTATTTTGGCACAATTCCACCAAATTTACCAAAATTATACAAGGTTGTTGCGCGGGGATTTGATCAAATATTCTTGTGCCAACTTTGCTCAAATATATCTCACTGCCCGACGCTAGGACATAAATCGTAATTCGGCCCCTGGTGCTGTGGACAAGCCTTCATAATCCATTCACCTGTCGGTGTTGTTAGTCCCTCCACTGAATGAGTTCCGATCGTGTTGCAGAATTGACAATTAAATTAACCGTGTGCATGGGCTATATTGACGACTTGCGCAATTGTATTGAGTCAATCCAAGTCAGCTTGATATTTTATTGAGCAAGTCTACTTGCTTGCACGTTTTAATTGACCGTGTGTGGCGACCGTCAATTAAATTGTGCAATAATCATTTTCCTTCCAGATTTCGTACCGTCATTTTGTCTGGGGTGTCTGATAAAGAAGAAGACAGGGCATTTCAATAGGATTGTATCGAGGTTTACAAAAGTTTACCAGCCCTGTATGGAAAGTGAAGTGTGACGAACAACAACAGACAAAAGAAAAATACAATTTACTGTGTATTGATTTTAGAGATTCCAGGAAAAGTACCAAAACTGAGTAAGAGAAGAAGTCAACAACAAAAAATGACTACAGAACAAAATTATCTCTAGGAAAGAAAGTGCTTGACTCAGAAAAATCTGGTGCAGGGACGGACCGGGTTTATGAAACAACTTTGTGATACATGTGTATTTCAATGCCCATTTCCTTTTTAGGAAATCATCTTCGTTTTCTGTACCAAGAGCAACTGCCACAGTGATTGCTGGGTAGATATCTCCCATCCTGTCTCAGAGGGTTGCAAGCCAAAAATGAGCCTGGTTTGCGCAATGAAATTGTGAGCTGTGTGTGGGTAACCTAAAAACTGTCAATTATATTGTGCAACCAGGATTGCACTTATTGATCGTGTAAGGACCGCTTTACAATGAACGTCCAGACGTCAACATGAACTTGTGACAGATTTGAAGCGTCGCTCTTTCGCTGAGTGGTGGCGACCCATAAAATTGTTTATTAATTTTACCCCATTCTTTTTTTTTTAATGGTGGTGTTTTATGACCCCTCAGACACAATTTAGATTATTTAGAAGGCGGGCTGCGACCCTACCTGTCATGGCCAATCCGGGCTGAGAGGGATGCAGTATCCCAGCTAAAAAAACAAACCCGGAAAACCTTGATAAAAATCCTCCTTTTGGGTCTCCTACGTGCTACGATGAAACGCCTAACCGCTAACCATAGATACCAATCAGTTATTTCTAGGACTTTCAGTTGAGTGAACCAAACATAATCCTGTTCGTCTTCATTCTGGTAGAATAGGCAGAGTCCCTGATCCTAATGTTAGAATTGTCGTCTGTTTGGGTAGGGGAGATTGAGCTACTCTGATGGTGTGACGAAAGCATACGACAGAACATGGTTAGAGAGCTGGAAAGGGGGTGAAAGGAGACATTTTAGAGATGAAAACGTTCCGTCGCTGTCAGGTTTCGAACTATTGAACGAAAGGCGAACACTGTAACCTCAAGACCACGTACGAGAGCTCCCGGGCGAAACGGAAGAGTGTGATATCGGATCAACTGCAAAGACTCCAGAACTAAACTACGAGAGCCGTTCTCAATTAAAAGGCCTTTGAAAGCACACAACACTTCTGCTTTTACAGCTGGCGACACTGGCTCCCTGTTATAGCCCCTTATTTATTACAAAGTTGCTTAAATGTTAAGCGCTAAGTGTTTAAACGATCTCGCGCTCAAATTGGAATTTCCTCCCACTGCATTTTAAAAGGGAGAAGCCTAAAATGGTCGCATTTTAAAATCTGGTCTAAAAACACACTCTTTAAATCAACCCATTTTAATAACTAGATCTAATTTGATTCTACTTCCAACAAGATGTATTATCAGCAGTAACCACAATGATTAGTGATTGTCTTTTGATAAAAATAACATGTGCTTTTTGTTTGATTACGATTGTATTATATTTCAGGTATTTAACCCTATCCGTAAGTCGTGTTTTACTTTCGTATCAATACGACGTGGGGAACTCTGTGCCACCACTTTCCTAGGAGGAGATTTACTAGTTAATCCGATACGTACGCTTTTTTGGGGGTAATAATTGTTTTACGGCGCTCGCAACTGCATGCTGTCATATGAGCGCGAGGGACACATTAAACATTTTCAGTTGGTAGGAAATTTTGAATTCTGCCCGGGTGGCGGCCGAAGCCAACTCTTTTATTAACGATTTTAGACTACCAAGGGATCCTTAACGTGCGCAACTTGCACACGGCCCCTCCGAGATTTTTCGCCCTTGTCCGAGAAGGTTATGTGTAAATCTTTCCCACCAGAAGATCAGGGGTGAGGCTGAAAGACAGCAGTAAGAAGGAGCCAAAGGAATAGCGGTAGAAAAGCTGCAGAAAGAGTCAGGAGCTCAAAGGAGGGGGCAAAGGAGGTGATGGGGTGGGGGCAGAAAGAGGAGACGAAAGCAGACGACAGACCATGATTAGAGAGCAGGAAAGGAGGTGAAAGGAGATAATTTAAGAGAAGAAAAAAATGTTCGGTCCCTTCCCGGATTCGAACCCGGCACCTTTGAATAAGAGGCCAACACCTGAACATCCCTACCAGATCTGTACGCTTTGCGTAGCAGTTTGTCAAAATGATATTTTGAGAAATACTGAAAGTTTCAAAGAGATCTTCGTACTAGAAGTATTCTAAAATGTGAAGAATACAACCCCAGGGGTACAAAATGACCCCAGGGCGTACAGATAGGGTTTAAAAGGGCTGCTGTACGTTGAATTGACCAGTACGCTGTGCATCAATCGTTGATTTAAATCTTACTTTTACTGTGAAGAGCCTATATGAGCCACCAGAAAATGGGTACTGTAGAAGTGGTCTTTTTCATTAATATATTTTAACTAATTTCATTAATATTATTTT